TTCGCCTACAAATAAATTTAAAATTGCGTCACAACTTTCAACATCTGTGGATAAGATAGCACTCTTACCTTCTCTTAACAAAAAAGGATTTATGCACAGAAAAAAACAAATTGAAAATATATTTTAAATAAGGACAAACACAGAAGCTGGAAAAAAAATGTTATCTATGAGATGAACGTGTATGGAATTAGGATTACGATTTTATACGTAAACTCTCTTAGTACGGCAGGTTTGATCGTTTCTATATCTTAATGCTATGACTCTATATGGATATAATGGTGATTTCTTTTTTATCGTGATATTTTTTTTTGAGTTGGAATAAACGAGATAAATTCGCGATAATAAACAATTTTGATGATGCTATATCTATCGTTGTCGCTTAAGGATTATTTTATGATGTTTCTGTCGCTTAAATTTTATAAAAATGGTCTCGCAGGAGTTTCAATGAAATGTATTGGGATATTTGTAGTTTGTGTCCCAGTAGTGTTCTCTGCAATTGAAATCACAACGTAAATGCTTATCGATTGATTTTGAGAAAAACGGCTTGATAATATTTCGTATCTCTTGTAAATACTTTTTTTTCCAATGCCCACTTGGAGAATGACCTTTCGTCAACAGGAGGGCAGATTTGTTGGCCACTCTTTCAGGGGCGCCATGTTAGGTGGGCCAATGTTGCTCCCACAGTAAGGACAGATAGTACAGAGAATGAAAGAACATCCAAGCCTTGCCCGGGATTCGAATCCAGAACCTTGCTAATGCAAGGCCAGTTCCCTGACAGCTACACAGGTCGGTCGGGCTTTTGTAAATACCAAGTAAAAGCATTCCTGATACAGCCCCTTGTGGGCCAGAGAGGGTCATGGAGGTTAAAACTCCGCAATATCGTGACCAACGGCATGACTGTGGCAATGTGGTCAGCAACTTTTACTTCTTGCAAATACTATCAAAGCCAAAACAGAATTTCAGAAAATTGTTAAAATCAAATTGATTTTAGAAAAAAAAATTTTTTTTTTCGATATGTAGCTTATTATACAAAAATACAAATATATGAAAAAAATTTCAGTTTTGAATTTTTTGTCACTAACGTTTATTTTACGATTACAAAACGGTGCTTACATTTCCCATCGTGTCACTATAATTAAGTGACAAATTAAATTTTATCAGAAAAATAAAACTATAGATCCTCAATAAAATAAAAAATAACCTACCCAAGCTGACAAAAAGATGGAAAATATGGATATATTATCGAAATGAGAGAAAATGTTATTTAAATAAACAAAGGTAAATTCATAACTAATCAGATTATTAATTTACTGTTCAAATCATGCATATTAAGGAAAATTATTAACAAAAAATAAATTAGAGAATCTTCAATCAAAAATATTGTATGAAGTATAACGGTGCAATGTTTTGGAACAAGGAAATTTCGATGAACTAAAAATAATAGCAATTTTTTTTAATAAATATTATTTATTTATAAATTTTATCTTAATTACTACAAATTTTTTCATGCACTTATACAATTTCATTTTCTAATGCTTCCAAATAAGAAAGTTAAGAAATTTATCACCGTGACATTGTACTATGTACACATAACTTTTTATAACCTGCGACTATAAAAAAACCTAGAAATATATGTATTCCAATATTTAAAGCCAAGAAAGAAAATTCTATCCTGGGAGCTTCGAAATATGGGACTGAAAATGGATCAATTCAATCGACATAAAAAAGGTCGATCAACAATTAAAAGGCTAATATTACTAGACTTAAACTGCACAGTATTTTCTTTTTACCATTCCTTGCTATATTAAATTTTTTTATTTTATAATCGGAGATTACCAGCCATTCCGTAATTTTATTTAATTTTTTAACCGCCGTTGACAAGCTGATCCTATCTAATGTTCAGCTCCGTAGCCTTGTAATTTTGAACCGAATCCAGAAAACAGGGGAATTCCGGGTTTAAGCATTGGGAGAAATTTGCCATCGCGGAGGACTTTTTGATGGAACTAATCCGCCTTTGCATTACATGGAGAGGAAAACCATGAAAACCTCCCATAATTGGCCTGACGCCCAGGGAACTCTTGCCTATGATCCGTCTGCTACTGAGGATATTTTACGTCAGCACTGTTGGCGGTGCGAGCCGGGTGCGGAATTCGTATCGACCAGCAATCGCTGGAATTCGAACCCTGTTCACCTTATTGGAAGGCGAACGCTCTATCTCCTGAGTCACCACGGTTCAGCCCAACCATATTGTGTATACGCGATTATGATGAATAACACTGTAGACACGTAATTTCAAACCTAACCCAAAGGACAAAGGAAAATTAAAGAAAAAAAAAACGCTATCGAAACGCTATCACTGTATAAAATCACCTTGTGGCAAAGCGCTTAAATTAAACTTAATTGCTTTGGTGTTTAATTTCATGAAGAGAAAAACCACGAAGACCTTGATATTGACAGGGAGTAGAAGGCAAATAATTCACACCACAGGAATTCAAACGTAGGTCGAATATGTCTGCTATGAGTAGATCATTACAAAAATTTTTGAAATTTTTTTCTTGAACACAATTTCATTTAATTATAAACTTTCAAAAACTTAAAAATAAGTTACGTGACGGAAAAGGAAAAATTTTCTGCCAAGTAACATTGATTCCTTGCAGTTGTAAATAACTAAACATATTCTAATAAACATATTCTAATAATTTGAGGAAAATTTTGCAAAATTATAACATTTTGTGAAAAATTTAAAAGGGCTGTACTATTTTAACCTTTCTGATGATATCGATAGTCACAGGAATTACTGGGAAAATATATATGTAGTTTATTTCTTTCTCAATCCTTCGATAGTAGGCTAATATATTTTATTTAAGAACAGGAAAATATAACCTTTTGATTCAAAATATTAACCACAAATCGGAAGCTTGGACTTAAAAATTAAAAATCAGTTTTCAAATTTTACAAACTATTGCTGTACAAAAATTACTACAATAGTTTATCATAGGCATACCATTTTACACACATTTTATTTCAATAAAGTCTAATTATAAAACTATTTCGAAAATGTACAAGTTACAGAATCAATCAAAAGAAGAAAAAAAAAGTTTTTTTTATAAAATATAATCTATTTTGTTAAATAAGCCAATTAATATACAATTCTAAGTAAATTTTTGAACCGAAATCAAACTACATAAAATTTTAATCTCAACAGAAAAAGAAAAAATACTATTATCTATTATGTAAATGAAAAACTAGCTGAACCTTTGAATATAAACACTATGAAAACAATTATTAAAAACCAAATATCTTTAGGGCAAATATTGTTTGCGAACAGCTATTAAAATTAACTATCATTGCTCAATTTGCAAAAAGGCTAATGCTCACTACTATACCCATTTAAATAACACTCAGAAAGCAGTTTTTAAAAGCAGCTAGAGTAAAGAATGTCAGTACACCAATAACAAATTACCAATCTCGTTAAAAACACGAAGCAAAATAATCTATCTTTCAGTGCTTAAGATTGGATCAATTAGTCAAACAATCTGTAACAAACACATTATACTGGAGTAATATATTGTTTCTATTGGACATAATATAATTCCGCTCTTTAATATTACAGCACAAACCTACCAACTAATGCGAAATCACTTTATTAACAAGTTAATGTAATCTTCACATTATCTACCAACCATGACAGCGCGATTTGTCTTGGTGTCCGCTCCCCTCTAGTTTATAACTCACGTTCACCAAGGCGAACGTATTAAAAATCCAATCAGGTAGTATAGCGCTGTTAGTAACGTATCAGTCAGTCTATTCTATCTTCGCTTACGGGCTGAAGTTTTTTGGGTGACGGCAAGATTTGCCACTGCCACCATTTTTTCGGTGACAGGTGCTTGGGAAAGATATGCCAAAAATCACAGTAGCCGTGGGATTCTAGCAATAGTTCCTGCTTAGAATATAAACAAAAAATTGATGCATGCACAGGGATGGATGAGTAATTATCAATTTGAATCGCTTTAAATTGAACCGATTCCATTTCATCACGTTAAACGTGTTCGTGCGCGTTATAAGTTGTGTAAAGTTACCTGTGGGCATCCCATAAGAAATTCGATTCAGGAATCAATGGTATTGGAACGTGCGTTTATATCACGCTTTGCACAATTAGAAGAACATTGATGGAAAAGGGGAACGCCTCGTGATTTGGTGGTTGAACTTCTCGAATTCGATTATTTTTCATATAGATATCAAGGCAAGAACCTGTAATCTTCGCGGTACAATAGAATCGAAATAAGAAAAGCCTTCCGAATCACGTAACGTAACCAAGAGTAATCACCCTCCTACTTTTCAATTACTAACAACACATTCATTGCTACTATGATACGTCTTTTGTTAACCCTATGGTGTCTGCCAAAGATATATATATATATNGTGTGTGTGTATATATATATATATATATATATATATACACACACACACACATTTTTAATGAGGAGGGCGCAGCAGCTGCAAATGAATTGATATACAGTCTTGATCTGAAAATATTTATGTAGAAATTAAGTATTTCAGTTAGGTCTCGATTTATAAAATGATAGCCAGAGACGCAGTGGGAATTTCAAAAATTTAGATTTTTTTAGTTACATAAATTTATCAATTCTTATAAGCATTTTCCTTAAATAAAAATGTTATTGTCAAATATTTTTTGCATATTTACAGGATGAATCTTTAAGACGCGAAAAATACGTTTATGCACAGAGAAACATAAAAGTTTGTGCACTTAATGTGCAAGAAAAAGTAAAAGGAGTACAATTTAGCTGTTAGTAAAGGGGTAAAATTAAAATGTTCTTCCTTGTACTTAAGTCTAATTCAATTATTGATCTGAATGTATGTTCGACAAGCAAACAGATATTTCGTTTGTATTCTTTGGACAAAGAATTATATCGTCACAAACGAGATATCTCATAGCAAAAATAAATAAATTATTGTTTGTTATTTTTTCAAAAGCTTACCTGTTCATGTCTCTTTAAATAATTAAGCCTAGGGAAGGCTTTATCACAGAATTGGCAAGCATAAGGTGTATTTTCTGTCACCCCAATCGTGTAGGAGATTGATTCAGCATCCGCATCAGATAAGGGTGTACAACTATTAGGCGACAAAGACTGATCGTCCGGAGTATCCGATGACCTCCAGGAAGTAGGTGTACCATTTAGCTCTGCAAAGAAAAGAAATTTGTGTCTTAATTTATACATAAAAAATATCACTTAATACATTTCAAATGCTATGTTCATCCCTAATTAGGAATTTCGAAGCTTACTGTAGATGCTCTATAATCCATTTTTTATGCTGAGAACATTTGGAACAGCGTGTACGGGAATTAAAACCATCTCACTTAATCACAACCCTTGATGTATCTTAAGAAGTGAAGTGAAAAAGGTGTACACGTTTGTCGCTTAATTGACGTTTAAGCGAGGGAAAAACAAAAGTCTAACAAATCACCATTTGGGACGTCGGGACTAAACATATCAAAACCAGTTTAATTACCGGATTAACAGAAAGGAGTTGCAAGAATGAATGTTAGGTTTAATATCATAAATGAATGTCAGATTTAAACAGCGCTGGTGGAAATATCAAAAAACAGTCTCAGATTTCAATATTTTGTATTCTTTGGGGGGGGGGGCGATGAATCGCTTGCCTTGCAAAAGCTGTAAGTAATTATGTTTGGAAATGAAAGAAAAAGTAGAAATGAAATATATTGCTTAAAAGAGCTTTTCATTTCAAATAATGCATGTCACGAATTTAATTCTAAAAATAAGTTCTAACAATGAACGATAGCTTAAATAACTTTTTGAGGATTTATTTTTATGTTAAATCTACAATATTTAGACGTGGATTTAACTCTTAAAAATACACAATTTTTAGAAGTTAAATTCACAATTTTAATAAAAATTTGAATTGCTCATAAATACCCTTTATATTCATACTCATATATACCTCTATTATTTAATACTCTTTAAAAATATTTTTGGGTGTTAAGCGAAATAATACTCTTTTTCTTACTGTTAATTATAAAAACTTCATCTGAATGTATAAAATTCTTTGATGTCTAGATTCTATTTAATATAGAGACTACTTCGAATGTTTCACATCAAGTGCTTCAGCAAATGCGCTAAATAACTACAAAAAATAAAACTTTAAAGTAATAAAAAGCCACATGGAAGTTAGCTAAGATTCACGTTTGCATAAATAAAAGAATATTATCATAATTCAAGGTTTTATTTAAAGGAATTTTTTAAAAAAGAATTTGCTTGTATGTAAATTTCATGCATATTAACGACACTTTCACATAGTAACAATTTAGAAATTCATTTCCTGTTATTGGTATAATAGTAGTAGTTCAAAATTATCAATAGATTATACAAACACCAGCTCTGTGTGCACTCTGCGCCCAGCTTTATAAAAGTTTAAAAAAAACTTCACACTTTTAATAGCTTCCAAACTATTTTAAGCAATTTCAAAGACATTTTAATTCTCATGCGTCCTCCCAGCTACATTAGTCGGTGTATTTAGACTTGTTTATTAGCTAGGTAGTAACTTCAGTTTTGTAATACGAGCAAATTTCCATTTCTGAAGTAACTAACGAAAGAGATTTCTATGAAGAAGAGCGCAAAGCATATAAACTATTATGAATTACTATAATCGGAATTATTGTAAAATTATTGATTCAGTTAGATATATTTAATGTTAAACAGCCGACTCAATTCCGAGTTTGTGGCCATAAGTACTCAATTCCATAGTCATGTAATTTTGAACACAAGTCAGAAAACTAGGGAACTCTTGGATCAAGCATTGGGATAAACTGGAATTCGTGATAGACTTTTTGATGAAACTAACTAGCACTTTCATTAAATGAAGAGGAAAAATACGAAAACTTCCCACGGTTAGCACGACGATAAGTGTATTTCGTCATGTATATTAGAAATTGTTTTCTGCTGATTATTCTTTAGTAAGTTTAACTCACATTCTAAATTTTAAAATAAAGAAAATGTTGCGGACATGTCAGGTCTCCTTTCGCAGTCGAGATTGGTAGTGCAAGAAGACTGGAGTTTGGAGACGTAGAAGATTGTTAGTAGCAGGTCATATAAAGAAAAAATATTTTTGTACGTTCACTTATGAGCATTATATTGCTTGTAGCGTTCATCATGCAATAGAAGAAAGACGATTAGTTCATCTCTAGCTTAAGGAAAGGAATACCATGAAATGGAATAAAACATTGGAACATCTTTTCGTCCCATAAATTTTTTTTAAAATTTTATATGTATATAAACTGTATAGTTTAATATGGGGTTGAATATAGGGCTTTTTTGGAGAATAAATTGCAATGTTGTATGCACTAATTACACCAACAATGTGGAGATTCAAAAGAAACAATTACTGCAATGATCTAATTTATTCCATAGACATTTATGATAGTAATTATTTCCGTTAGTGAAGCAAAAAAAGTGTTGTCATACCAAAATAGGCAATACATATTTTTCCAAAAAAAAATTAATTAATATTTCATTTTGTCTTTTTCTCGATAAATATAATCCATTCAATCGCTTTCTCAGAGTAAAGGTATCTTAGTAGAAATTAATTCGATAAATAGATTGTTTTTTTTTTTATAGCTCCTTATAAATATACATAATTCGAGAATTGCTATACGTTTACTTCAATGTTTTGTCTCACACGAACCATTTTGAAACGTCATACATTTATTAAGACTGAAAATTAAATAATAATCACATTAGCAATTAAATTTTGCTACATTGCTTCGCTAAATTGCAAAAAGGTTTGATATTTTTGAGTTAGGTAAAATGAGAGAACTGATACTGCATGTAATTATTATGTTCAATTATACAACGCGATTTTCAAATTTTTTAGTAAATATATTAATCCCAATCTATGCTAATTAGATAATTAGATAGAAGGCAAATATATAAATAATTGCAAGTTCATTTTTCATGAGAATATAATCTGATTTTTTTAAAGTATAAGTTATATTATTAAAAAAAAATTGACTAAGTCTAAGAACGTACCCATAAGCTAGTAGATGAACTTGCAGTTTAGAAAGCCGAAATCACCGCGTTCAGAACGCTAGTTATAACAAAAAGTTCCACACGGTTCACAAGTTACATTTTACACAATGTCTAAAAGGTGGTCTAAGTACAAATTGTCCAGGGAGACAAATGAAATCTTTTGGGGGGATTTAATCCCTACACCCACGGTTATCTGTACAAGGTCACTTCGAAGATATCAAGTCGGATGTAGGCTTATAAAGGGGGGTCGATTTCCAGGTACAAAGAACCCAGCTAGGAAATTCCTTGTTTCCTGACAAGTGGCAATAACTGTCACAGAAGGATTGAAAGAGTTGGCAAATAAGTCGCAAGGAGATTTTGGGAAAAGCTGCATGTTATTGTACCAGTGTCAATACGGAACCCCAAGGAGAACTTAGATATGCAAGTCTTGTGAAGAATTCTTTGCAGATTGAAAGAGTGGTGCAGGCAGACAGGAACCCTGGTGAAAAACACCTGTAAGTAGTTACTGTCTTTATCTGGGAGTAGTTACACCTGTAAGTAGTTACTGTCTTTATCTGACCAGGAAATTCCGTGAGATACCAGGATGGAGTTGGTTTTACTGATTGAAAAGATGAATCTTAAAACATCTTAATTATAACTAAGCTGACATATTCAAATCTACAAATTCCTTATTTGCATATTTAATTATATCCTTTATCTACATATTTAAGTAAATTTATTATCTACGTAATTTAACTCTAAAAGGAGAATTCTCACAAAAATTTTATTCTCTTATCCCTAATTCTGTACTGTATAAAATATTAATCGATATTTTTCTTTTTTTTCTTACATAAATTAACAACCAAAAGGCATTTTTAAAATTTCTGAATTTCTAATTAATATGCTAGAATTTTTATGCTTCAAATTAGGAATTGTAACCAACAGAAGTATTATATCTCATTTTTGAGCCATGAAAATCAATGCAACAAATAAAAAAGGTAGGGGATTATTATTGACGCATATTTTAAACAAATTATATCAAACAAATATTGGATGTGCATAATAATGACCATGGGGGTCACAGGGACCCAATTTTTGAGTGGGTTGAAATTAAATATCACAGTCACAATAGTTCTCTAAATTTCATGGATAAGAAAAAAATTCTTACAATGTGCTAAATACTCGCAAAAATATTATTTTTTTTAAATTTTTAATCTCGTTCTTGCTTCTAACTTTGAGGAGTTTAAACCAATGATAGATCATGAAACCTTTTTTATTTGTCTGAAATATTGAGAGAAATATTTAGAGATTTTTAATTATTAAACTGACATATACCCACTTCAACGACGCCCATGATAATGACTTAAAATTAAGGATCTATAAATAGCACTTGCCATGTTGCATTTACAATCTGAGAGTTTAATGATAAAAATAAGCAAATAAAATTTAAAGCAAAATATTGTACGATAGAAATATTAACAATTAACTGTCCAGTAAAATTAGTTTCCGGGCCCAACTTAGAAAGCAGTCATATATTATAAAACTTTCTAGCTTATTAAAATACTCAAATGAAGAAAAATTCATTCATAAAAATATTTTTGCTGCACTTCATTACATTTTTAGTACAAGATGTTTATGAAAAACGATCCTTTTACACTGCCAAAAAGTTTTTTTTTGGTTTAGTGACAACAGATACGTTAAATTTTTTGTATGTATTTTTTTAAAACATATGAGAGTATGTATTTTTTAAGACATTTTTTAAAACATATGAGGCTCAAATGAAGAAAAATTCACTTATAAAAATATTTTTATTGCGCTTCATTATATTTATTCTATAAGATGTTTATGAAAAACGATCCTTTACACTGCCAAAAAGTTTTTTTTGGCTTAGTGACAACAGATACGTAAAATTTTTTGTATGTATTTTTTAAAACATATGAGACTCAAATGAAGAAAAATTCATTTATAAAAATATTTTTACTGCACTTCATTATATTTTTAGTATAAGATGTTTATGAAAAACGATCCTTTACTCTGACAAAAAAAAATTTTTTTTTTTTTTGGCTTAGTGACAACAGATACGTAAAATTTTTTGTATGTATTTTTTGAAACATATCAGAGTATGTATTTTTTAAAACACATGGAACTCAAATAAAGAAAAATTCATTTATAAAAATATTCTTAGTGCACTTCATTACATTTTTAGTATAAGGTGTTTATGAAAAACGATCTTTACACTGTCAAACATTTTTTTTTGGCTTAGTGACAAACAGATACGTAAAATTTTTTGTATGTATTTTTTAAAACACTAATGACTCATAGTGAATTTTTAATATCCTAGATAAAATACCATTTTTAAAGAAGGGTTAACAATTGAAACAACAAATATAAATGTGAATAAATGCACAAATAACGCCACTTAAACAGAGACATACTTTACCTTGTTTAGCTTTATTTATTTTAATACAAAGTAAAACCTTTCTTTATTTGAATTTAAGCACAGTTATAAACAATTAAATAAAGTATAAAAAAAGAAAAGTTCTACCAATTCCGAATCATTTTATTTAAATCTATTGGCAATATCTAGATTTTAAGTTTGTTTATTCTAATACTTATTTCAATAGATTTTTTCCTCTTTACAATATATACCATTATGATTATAACTATTATACAATAGTAGAGGTTCTTTTAATTCCATAATAGTACCAAACATAATGGTAAAAGTTACAGTTTACGATCCAAATCTTTAATATTTGTTTCTTTGTTGCCAGTATTACGTTTTTTGATTATATATTTAAAATACGAAAAGGAAAGAAAGAAATGACATAAAATCAAATTTCTTTAAAATTGAAAACTTCGGATAGAAAAGAAAAAGCAAACGATTTCAATGGTACGAAGAACAATAATCACTAATAACTCACTTTCTATTATGTCCATTAGACCCATGCCGCCAGTGGAGGGATTTTTGATGTCCCGTACCTGAGGAGCGGGAGGCATCAGCACGTGCATTAAAAGAAATGTTTCACGACAAGCGTGGTTCTAAACAAGAATGAAATTTAGAACTTTTTCCTCTTTACATCTTACTACGGACGGGAGGAGAGAGGGGCGGGAACATTCAACGCTATTGGTGCCTCTCGTCTGCTTCTCGTTTACCCCCTAGGTAGAAATGAAGCCACATTTTCTCCCGTTTCCAACCACGTGTGCTTGTCACCGCTTTTCTATTGTTTGGGATTCAGTGATGTTTGGCGCTAATTAACCATCGCCAAGGTGAGGAGGGCTGTCCCGAGACTGGCCCAAGCAGAGAATACTGGGAAAGGGGTAGGGGAGAGATCTTGGGAGATAAGAAAAAATGTTTTCAGGAGGAATTCTCACTTATTCATACTTTTATTGAATGCAAGAAAAAGTTTAAAATTTCTCGTTAAAATAATTGATTGTTATTTTGAAACTTAATAAAAATAATTGTGGTTTTCAATGATATAACTCTCGAATCTATTACTATCGAATTTTTTTTTGCAGCTTTCAAATATTATGTAAAATGGGACCTCTCCTTGTCAGCAATTACAGGCATACACCTTTCTATTTGTATAATATTTCTATTGATATTTTTTCTTTTAAAAAAAAAGAAGGTCGAATTCATTTTATAATCAGTTCACAATATTACGATTAGTCGGTGCTTTCATGGAATAAAATTACTAATTTAATCAATTCAACATATTTAGCCATTAATTTTTTACTAGTATTAGTTACAACACATTTATCCATTAATTTTTTACTAGTTAACAGATTTAAAGGACGTTATTTTAATGTATAAGGGGTCGCTTCAAATATTATGTAAGCACTTAAAGGGGGAAGGGAGTTTGTGACAAGGGGGGAAGGGTAATAAGGAATGTTTACATAAGACACTAAAATTCCTCACTTTTTCTTTCGTTATTTTATTTCTTTTTTTGCCTTATTTTCTTTTTTTTCTTTCAATTATAAAGTAAATGTTACAAAAAATTTAAAACAAAAAATTCTCAAATTTAAGAAAAGTTGCATTTGAGGAAAGCTGAAAAAAATTATTTAAAAATTTAACTTTGTCTATAAAATTCTTAAAGTAAAATTTATTAATATGCAAGTTAATTGTTTTATTAGAATTTAATTCTCAAAATACTGCAGTCAAAGGGGGGGAAGGTAAAGACCACAATTGCCAAAAAATTGCTTACAAAATATTTGAACAGTCTCAAAGAAACAGTTTATTTGTTTTTAAAAAAAAGAAAAAAATATTTTTGCTCTAAACCAAACATTTATAGATTTTTTCTTCAAACCCCTTCAAACAGAAAGCTGATTTCCTTTTCTCCCTACAGAGTATATGACCGGAATTTATTTATTCACTTATTTCATTATTATTTAATACTTTTTGTTGTTGAATATGTTTTATTTCAATAAGAAAAAATTCATCTAAAAGTGATCTATTCAACTTGGTTACCAAGTTTAATTAATTAATTAATAATGAGGTTGTGAGTATATTTTTAAGACTTGGACTCAGAGAAAACTTAAACTTCGAAAAAGTTCTAAAAATTCTTGTAACCTTAAAATTTAAAAACGGGTAAGAAAATATTCCAATGAATAAAAGGAAACAAAAATTATTCAAAAATATTAATTAGATAGGGAATAAATAAGGAAATTGTAGACATAAATTCTCCGTGGGCTTACGTAGAAAGCAAACATATGAAGTAAATTATTTTTCTGTTTGAAGGTGTCGCCTAATTGACCAATAGAGTTGACTTTCTAGGTGTTGTTAATGTACAGCAAGAATTTTTCATATCTCAAGTTTTTATTTCTTTTATTTTATTTAAAATAGTAATTAAAGTTGAGTATTTTATAAATTTTAAACAATCATAAGTTTATAAAATCAAACTCAGCAATGAATATTTTTTAGTTGTTCAAGTTTTACGTGTCATGAATTTATAGAGAAAAATTTTTCCGTTATACAATATAGTAGGACGATATGCAAATAATCTGTTTTTCAAATGTTAATACATTCATGCATTTTTTATATAATTAACCATTTTCAAATTATATTTCAAAGTAGAATAAAAACTTATTAAATTTGCGTTAATAAAATTTTGTCGTCGCTCCACTCATCATTAATGGAATTTTTAATATGCCGTGACGCAAAAAAAGCTTTTATTAAAAAAGTGATTATTTTTTTTTAACTATATGAATATTTTCTTCCGTTAGTTACTACTTGATTTTTGAAAAGATTTAAAAATCAGATAAGTGATTAAAGATTCTTCTTTTAAAATAAAATTTCTTCTTTATCGCCCGATGTGACAACAATCCTATTCCAATAAGAAGAATTCTCGTAATTTCCATGACGAATATGTCACTCTAGGTCAAAGTTTCCCAAAGTGTGGTACGCGTACCCCCAGGGGTACAGGAACAGTTTAGCGGGGGTCGCTTTCTTATGCGAAATATCTTGCAACAAACGAAAATTTCACAAAATTTTATTTA